TCAACAAATCTTTCAAGACTATTGGAATTTGTATTCATGGAATCTACAAACGGCATTTTTAAATTCCTCTATGCAAACACTACTACCTGCCAAAAGAAGGGCAGAAGTTGAGCCGCGTAAACAGGTTAGCGTCAAAATAAAACTACAGGGTAAAAGAGTTTGCAAACTATTTGTGTTGAAAACTTTGAACATAAGCCAAAAAAGGTATGACAATGTTTTAAAGAACAGAAAACCTTCAGGTGTAGCTCCAACTGACCAACGTGGTAGACACATCCCAGCAAATAAGATTTCAGAACATGATATTGGAGTAATAAAGGCCCATATTCGGTCATTCCCGAAATATTCAAGCCATTATTCACGAAACAAAAATCCACAGACAAAATATCTCTCAGGCGAACTGAATATTCACAAAATGTATACATTTTTTTTGGAGTTTTGCCATGAAAATAGTATTCAACATACTGTTAAGGAGAGTTTTTATAGATTCATTTTTACAACGCAATTCAATCTCAGTTTTAAACGGCCTCACACTGATAAGTGTACAACATGCGATGCACTTGAAAACAAAATAAATAACGATCCTAATGCCGAGGTGGTGAAAAATAGTAAAATCCAGATCCCAAGATGTTCATTTACGTAAAGCAGAGAAAGCTAGATCAGAAAAAGATGATGCCAAGAAACTTGCCAAGGATAACGCAACTACTGTAAAAGGAATGTGTTTCGATCTTGAAAAACCTTTCCCCACACCTGTACTAACCTGCAGTAAAGTTTACTATCTCAGGCAACTGTGGGTGTACAATTTTGCAGTGCATGATCTTGCTAATAATCAAGCCTCAATGTTTATGTGGCACGAAGGTGAGGCATCGAGGGGATCCCAAGAAATCGGGTCGTGCCTAATTAGGTATGTTCAACAACTACCTAATTCAATAGAACATCTTATAGCATTTAGCGATAACGCAGGCGGCCAAAACAAAAATAACAACATTATTAAATTTTGGAGGCAGATTGTTCAGACCACATCTATTCAGAGAATAGACCATAAATTTTTGATTTCTGGGCACTCTTACATGGAATGCGATCAAGACTTCGGGATTATTGAAAAGTCCAAAAAAAAACCAATATATTTTTGTTCCGGATGACTGGTTCAACGTAGTGGCTCATGCAAGCCGAAAGTTTACAGTTGTAAGAATGGCCATTGAAAACTTTATGTCAGTTCAACCTATGAAAAAAAGCATAAAGGACTCTATTCCAGGGTTACGCAATGTTCAATGGTTTCGACTGGAGAAAGATAAACCGGATACTCTTTTATACAAGAACAGCTTTGAGGACATGGACTTTGTTGAATTTGATCTAAGAAAGCAGAAAAAAGACCGTCCAAATACTCATTATGAACTTAGCTTATTGTACCCTACACCACCACTTATAAAGACAGCAAAATAGGAAAACCTTCAACAACTTGTTCCTTTTATACCACCCATCTACCATAACTTTTATACAACACTAAACTACAAAAAATATTGCTTCAACTTGGATAAGGTAAACAAAATGCTAAAAAAAGTCTTATCATTAAGTGCAAAAGAGATGTAAGTTACATATTCGGATGCAAAGGGGTGTAAGTAGTAACGTCCCTTTACTTTACTCCCTGTATTTTTAGTACTAATGAATAAATTGAAATATTTCAAAAGTTTAAAAACAGTTAATAAGATACATCAGAAAAGTAAAAAAAATATTTTTCTAATTTTCGGTAGTCCTTGATTTTTCTGTAAGACTTTAACTTTGAGAGCCTTTTTCTCGACATCGCTAAATTTGCACTTAGATCCCTTTGCTTCTTACCGCCTCAATTATAAATTTATTTTGTTATTACAATATTTGTATTATTTTTTTACTGTTCATATTGTTTTTTATAGTACATACATACATTATAAATATTTTTATTATTGAATAGTTTATTAAAATACTCCCCAACATTGATCCCAGCAATGATTTTGCATAATATTTACATATGTGAAATCAAATTTCACGCGTGTGTGCCATACTAATCTAGAGTGCCTGACGGTCTAGTAATCTGGGAAGTGATAGCTGAAGTGAGACCTACCAACGAAAGAAGAACAAATAAGCTCTGGACAAGTGGCAAGAAAGGCTACTTGAAACTAAAAAACTTAATTATAAAGCAAACAGGTTGGTGAACAGAAAAAAAACAAAATGCGAGAAATAACAAAGAGCTTGAACTTCATTAGTGACAATCTGCTTTTTTTTCGAACTATTTTAATTTAAACATTTTTAGTAAGAAAAGCTGCAATGTCCGAATTTGGCTTGGAACCACTATAAAAAAGTAATCTTAAATTTCGACAAAGAATCTGAATCTAATATTATTGCATTTATAGAAAATCAGCCGGTGTATTTTATGAGCAAGATCGGTTCATACCTTGCGGTCATAATGGTGCAATTCTAAAATATATCTCGAAAAGATCTCATCTCAACCTCTTTGGCCAAGATGAGTCCTTTTCAAAACAATTATTATGGCATTAAGCCTCATGATTTTCTTAAAATTCAAAACATTGGGTGCAACTTATATTATTAATATTTGAGTTCTTTGTTGAAATGACTCAAAATAATTATGTGATCAATTACATAATATCCAGTACATAGAAAATAAGCAGAGTTATAAGATAAAGTTACATTTTGGATACTTTAACAAAACAAATTATCAAAAACGCAGATCCCAAAATGTACAGGTTGCACATACACATGCATTCCACAAAGAATTATTCTGAAGCTCTGTGGCAATTATTCTTTGTAGAACACTAGTGTACCTATCCATAGCACAGCCATAAAAGACTGATTCCTAACTACATATCACAAATATGAAATCATTAAGATACCTCAGCAGCATATTGTGGAAATAATATACATTTATGTGGATCTGATAATAACCTACATGTGACAGTGGAAAGTCACATTCAGCATCAATTTTCCTTTTTCGTAATTAATTTGATAGACCTAAGGAAGATCCATTAAATATTAGACAAAATATTTACTATCAACGTAATGGCCCCATTTTAGTTACACAATGATTGACCATCCTAAATCCATACAATTCGTCCACAAACTGAAACAAAATGAAAAACATGTAATTAATTAATTAATACGTATTGTAATTCATTAATTTATATGCACTATCTTTTCGATACTTCATAATTATTAGGAAAAATTATTATTGTGAATGCTACGAAGATTTATTACACCTGTATTTGTTGTAATTTGAATACTTAAAAATGTCCTTTGTTCAATCCTACCTTCGCAATTGTCAGTTTCTAACTTGGATACGAGTGTTGAAAGTTATTATTTGTATTCACTCTGCTGACTTTCATAGAAACGAGTGAGTGAAAATTTTTTTCACTCACTCTAAATTTTTTCAACCACCTACAACTAAGTACTATCGCCCCAACCTTATTTACTACATGGCGTAAGGGACAGAAAACAAACCCCCGCACGGTCGCTTTGCCGAGTACGGCCGAAGAATCGGGGACTGGAAGGGCGTACTCATTTTCTCTCGAACCTTTGCTCTAGCCTTGTCGTCTCTTCAACCCTGAAGTGCCNAACAACGGGGTTTGTCTATCAAAAGTTGGAATGAATTTTTAATGAAAAAATCTTAGTAGGCTTTGCAATCTTTGTCAGAAATATTTTTGACATTTAAATGTCAGTGTTTTCTTAGTATTATTATTGTTTCGCAAATTAATTTTTGAATAAAATTCTACCGCATTTACGCTCGTTCACTGGACGTTTCAAAATTTTAAATAAAACAATAATAATGGTAAGAAAACCACTGACATTTAAGCGTCAAAAATATTTCTGACAAAGATTGCAAAGCCTACTAAGATTTTTTCATTAAAAATTCATTACAACTTTCGATTAACAACGCTACAGCTTAACAGTTAGTGTTTGCTTAAGTCATTTTTTTCTCAGAAAGTATTAACTTTTCGAAGAACATCAGATAGGCAAAAAAGTTTTAGAATATTTTCATCTATCTAAATAAAATATTTCCAATGTATTTACCACCGTCATAAAAAAAATCTAGACAAAAATTGAACGGGGGTGGTTAAGTTTAGTAACTCAGAAGGGAAGAATGAAAGTACAAATAGGCTTGACACATGCCCTATTGTAAGCTAAACTTATTTCCCAAATTTCATTTTCCTGGTGTTTATGGTTTTCGGGAAAAAAAAAATAAACCAAAATTTTTCGCCATTTTTGAAGGGGCGTAGCTCCGCAGGGTAGTCGAAATCGCTCATAGTTTATATAAGAAAGGACCCGTAAAATTGCCTAAAGAATCACCCCTTGAAGTTTGAGCACGTCATTCAGATACACCCTGTATATTACACGCATAAATCTGCGGACAAAAATTGTTTCATCTCATGACTACTAGATTTTTTTATTTTTAATTTATTTTACTAATTGTAGATTTTGTTTAATAAATATTTTCAAAAGTATTCTAAAGTGTACTTTAAATTTGGTGCGTTCGTTTTTTTTTTATTAAAAAAAAACTTAAAGACAGGTTAATCTTAAAAGTATATTCAAAAATAATTAATTGATTAAAGATTATCATAGTTTACATTGTCTACATCTCTACATTGTTTACATGAAAAAGTTTGTGTAAACAATACGTATATTACTTGTAGACAATGGGAGTAAAGTAAACTTTATAGTCTACGGCACATCACTGAAGTAAACCTCCTTCACGAGCAATGAGTCGTAGTTTTTCCAACAACAATTTTGCTACGATGAAGAAGACTGTCAAAAACATATTTTTTCCGACGAGGAAACATCCACATTGAATGGACAAATAAAAAATTAACGTTGGGCACACCCAATATCCGCAAAACATCAATGTGTAGAGTGAAATAGTACGGGATACTGTCCTGAGTTCTTACTTTATGAGGAAACCTTAACTGGAGGGAGATATTTAGATTTTTTCAAAACGATATTATAATGTTGTCCCACCTGAATTCCAATGGCAGTTATTCCAACAAGATGGCGCGCCACCACACTTTAACAAGCTTTACTAAATCAGTTTTTGACACTTAAGAAATTGTTTAAAATACTTGGTTACCATAGTTACGCATGGCTACTGCTATTTTTATCATGTCAATCAAATTTCAAGAAGTTAATCTTTAAAATAGTTTTTCTCGAAAATTTTCTTATGTAACCAATATTAATATTGAGTGTCCAGAGTCTGAAAAAGAATTACTTTCATATTCCATATTAAAAATAATGGACTGCCATTTGAAAAAAAATATCGATGACGTATACGAAAAGATTGCAAAAAATTTAAATTTTTAGACCTGTTCAAAGTTTTTATAATTTATATATTAGTCGGCCGTTCCGTATTTTATTCGTTATTGTTATTCAGTTGTTCTGACGAGTTGTTGTAGTTGACATCAAAAAGCGTAATAAATCGTTCCGTGTAATTTTCCTTAAAAAGTGGTTTCAATCGTGTTAATACACACGTTCGATAGAAGCACTTCGGCTTTTATTTGCTATTCGAAGAGATACTTCTACTTATTCTACAAGAACAGTAAGATTTTTCCTTTTTGACAGTTTTTTTCTAACCCCCGCGTTTTTAAGTAACTTTCTATAAGCGTCTCAGATTTTTCCCGCGCCGGTCTCGACTATTTCTTAACATTTTTTGGTCCTTCGAGCCGGATATAATCGGAAGTGCGGAGAGAAGGCCGAGATTTTTTGAGACGTTTTGAGTATTTTTCGATTTTTCATTTTCGTTATTGTGTGTTTACGTTACCATGGCGACCGCTCGTGAAATTGACTTAAACCCGATTTTCGAACGGCAAAATGACATTCACGGGTTAATTTCTCGCACAATAGACNGTACTTGCAGATGTCCTAATAGGTAACATTTCTTTAAGAGTGAAAACTCGCACATTTTTCCCAATAAATTAATTTGCAATTGAAAATTGTATTGTATTGTTTAAAATTTGCTTAATATTTAATGTAATTGATACATCATGCTTTCATTACAATTTATAGGTTATTTATGTATAAAAGATAATATAGAAGATCTATTATTCAATTTAGAAAAAGTTTTCTTTGAACAGATAAAAACTATTTCATGCACACATTTTTTCAAGTTCAAGCAGTTTAGCAAAAGAAGTCTTACAAGATTTTTTTTATGGTTTTAAGTCATAATCAGGGTTGGGCATTTTTGCACTACCACTAAATTACACTACCACTGTTTATTCAGTGGTAGTTATAATGCAAAACCATTACCACTGAAAATTTAGTGATAGTGAAAAAGAACTTGCATTATCACTAAACCTTTAGTGATAGTGAAAAAAATGCACTATCACTAAACTTTTAGTGAAACATGATCTTTAACTAAACACATTTGAATTTATATTTTGTTCGGTATTAGTTATCAACTAGTTTGTTGATAAAAATGCTTCTTGATGTATAGGCGGTGTAACTAAACTATGACTTTAAGCCAATCTAGCTAAATAAATCACAACTTCTTGGTGTCAACAGCAGACTCATTTATTTGGCACTCTCGAAATTGCAATGCAGCTCAATAGTAATGAGTATAGATAGGCAGGCGGCAGCGTTGATCCGGATTAACTCGTTAATTCGGAATTATCTCGGGAGTTAGCTGCAGTTCATCCGGATTAAGTTAACAACTGACTAAAAACAACATTAAAAAATATAGAAGTTATACTTGAATAGTGATGGGACGGTATTTGAGGAACGGTATTTTGAAGCGGTATTTTTGAGGAGCATACCGCTTCCACGCAATTTTAAAATACCCGTTACAGAACGTTACTAATATACTTACATATTTGTAGTGATGGTACGGTATTTGAGGAACGATAGTTTGGAGCTTTATTCTAATGGAACGTACCATTCCGGCGCGCTTCTTAAAATACCCGATTCCAAACGTTACTAAAATTTTACCATGTACGTTTCCGATAAAGACAGTCAGGTTAAACGCCGTTATATTGATATTTGTTCAACGCTCCCTTAATACATTTTTTTTCAATTTTTGGATAGCGTGTATTTTTTTAAAATTATGATTATTATGGGTAGAGAATATTTAATTTTTTCTTAATTTTCTTCTTTTGCTTAATTTTTTCTTTCCGTGACCTTATGCAACTTACACAAGGTCACGGTATTTTGGTGCGGTATTTTGGAACGGTATTTTTGTGTAGCGACCGTTCCTGGAGCGCGGCATGGTTTTGAGCGGTATTCCCACCACTATACTTGAATGAATAAAAAAAATTGAATTAAAATTCTACTGGCAGTGGGACTCGAACCGACAACTTCGCGGCACAATTTTGATCAGATCAACTACACCATTAATCCGGATCAACGTTGCCGCTGTCTATGCTTTTAGTTACTATGGATATATTTAAGTGAGTAAATAGGCGAACAAGTACTATTTTTGGTTCAGTGCCGCTCGTATTTTTTAGTAAAATATTGCAGTGTTCAAAGTGCTTCAGTTTTGTAGTGGACAAAAATTATATTTTATAAAATGAGTATTAATGAAATAGATTTTGGAAGTGACGATTCATTTTGGCTTTTTGGCTGATCCCACTTTCGAGCCCAAACCTGGTTTGAGTAAACAAATTCGAATTAATGAAACAACGGAAACTACCAGGTGTGTACGTACTATCAGTGATAATGGGAGTACTGAAGAATTTCATCAAAAGCAACTTTCTGGCGTGAATGAAATTCTTTTTAATGGAGAATTTTTCAAAATAGTGGAGCAGGTATTTTTTAAGTTAAATACTTGCAAATCAAAATCTACATATATTATACGTATACACATATATTTTCATTACAATGTTTATTTAAGAGAGCTTCGACTCCATACCAAACGAAAATGGTAGGTATAATCGAAAATGGTAAGTATGCCTTAAGAAAATTAAAGGTTAGCTAGGCGTAAGCTCTAACTTTATACACCACTTACGCGAAAAACATCCACGCACATTTAATGATTTTCAAAAGAAAAGATCTGAAACCAGAAAAAGTTTGCGTGCTAGATCTGCAACTGATCGAGATCTTCTTTCTTTTATTTGCGAAACGTGCTCTCCATTCTCTATTATCGAGCATCCTAGCTCCTAGCTCCCCGAAAGAAGGATCCCCAGTGGACGGACAATAACCAGAATGCTTTCCGAGAGCCACACGGAGTTCAAACAAAAGTTGTCTGCAGATCTGGCCAAAATTGTATTTATATGTGCAACAGCTAATATTTGATCTGGATGAAAAAGAGCGTTTTTTGGATACACATGCCACTGGCTAGAGGTGATACCTTACAAAGAAAGTCTGCAGCCTTAGCATGCCGCAGGTTTAAAGGTTCTTTTGATCGAATAACAGATATCATTCGCGAAATCAATGGCCAGTGTAATATATCAGTCGGCAAAATACTATATACCATAACCGACAATGGATCAAATTTCGTCTAGGCATTTAGAGAATTTGGAGTTATTCTGAGTAACATCTTGTAAAATCTTGTAAAAAAGTTAAGCATTAATAAATTATTATTTTAGAGAGAAAAGGTGAAAATGAGAGCGACAATGATGATAGCTCCGACGATGATAACCAGTCAGAATACTCCAGCCCTGAGTTTTACAATTATACGCCAATTTTGTCAAAGCATTTTCGATGTGCTAGCCATACCCTCAACCTTTTGGCCACTACCGATTTTATAAAAATATTAGATGGCTCAACAAATCAGGCAGTTCATAGCAATCATAAAGCTAGTTTCAACAGGTTAGAAATAAAAATTCGAGCTTAAATTTATTAAGGGTACTCATTTAAAGGTGCAAAACTCTCGAAAACTGGACAAACTGTGCAATTTTAAACCCTCGCAAATGAAATATCAAAATTTGTATGGAAAGTCTTTTGAACAAAAGGGCCACTTTGCGCGTCAATTTTGTCACGCAAATTTGTGCAGCGTGCTGTGCAGCCCTCAATCAGCTATTTTGATGAGTACCTTTATTATATGTGTATTAACTTTTTACATTTTACTTAACACAGGTGTACAAAACTATGGAATAAATGTAATAGGCCAAAATCATCGGAAATAATAAAAACAGTTTTATCTTCATGGATGGAACTCACTGTATGATTCGGTTCAGAAGCTAATAGAAGTCAAAACCAGATTAGGTGAACTATGCTACACGCTGGAAATTTCTACTTTTAATGAGGAAGAAATTGAATATTTGGAAGAATATGCAAGAGTAATGCAACCTATCGTAGAAGCTATCGACTTCCTTCAAAGAGAACAAAATATGTTCTTTGGCTATTTCATACCCACTTTAGTGTCCATCAAAATAAAAATGCGACGTTTAGCTTCCGAAAACTTGAAATTTCTTGCGGAAATTAATATTCAAATGCAATCAAAGTTCTCAAAGTTACTGGAGAGGTTTGAAAAATATTTTCGTTTGCAATTATTATTCCCGATATCAAATTAAAATTTTGCAAAGACTATGCGCTGCAGTTTAAAAGACAACCGGTAGGGAAAGAAAATAATTTACAGCCTTCCATAAGTGCTTCCGTCATTTCTACTTTAATACATCATTTCTCGAATTTGAAGACGAGTCCACAGGTATTCGATTAAAAGAAACCAACCTACGAAATTTTTGTAAATAACTTCTTTTTTTTAGATGAAAATCAATATATAGACTCTCACAGAGCTATAGCAACCGAAGTAATTTTGTACTTGAATGACGATGATTGCACCGGTTTCCTATTATAAAAAAATGTTTTTAAAATACAACACCCCTCTTCCTTCCTCTGTGAGAGTGGAAAGACGTTTTTCCTTTGTTGGAATTGTCAATCGATCAACAAGGCAAAATCTTGCCAACCGTAATTTTGAAATGTTGGTATTAAAAAAAGCAAATAAAAAATGAATTATGTTTTCCTACTTTTGGTATGGCATAATTAGAAGTGTCTACTCAAAAATGGTTTATTTTGAATAAATTTCTTTATACTGCTTCAGCTTTAATAGTCTTACTTTTATTCTTCACCAGTGTTATGTTACTGACAATGAATAATAATGTTAATTATCACTAAAGGTTTTCCTAAATATTTAGTGGCAGTGCATTTTTTTTCACTATCACTAAAGGTTTAGTGGTAATGTAATTTTTTTTCACTAGCACTAAATATTCAGTGATAATGAAATTCGGGTTTTAACTACCACTGAAGAAGTAGTGGTAGTGAAACGCTTATTGCATTTATTTTTTAGTGCATTATGCCCAACCGTGGTCATAATACAGTGTATACATTATTGTATACATTAACCCATTTACGGTCGTTAGACCACCACTCTTAAAAAAAATCGTCTTAGTAAACATATTTTTTGCAATAATGAATAATTTTTTTCTAGAATTTATTTATTTTTTCTACCTTGGCCATAAATGGGTTAATTGGTGATGCGACAAGTCTAAGTATCAAGTGATTCTTGAAGTTGATTTTAATTTTTATAGTTATTTTTTGAGATTAATTTTAAAGCATTGGAATCGATTCTCAAAAATGAAATCAATTCATAAGAATCAAGTCGAATATTCAATACTATTCAAATCTGATTCGATTCAAATTGATACCAAAATAACAACTAATAAACAAAAAAGATCATAATTTTATCTTGATTAATTTATGAACAAATTTGACAAAAAAATTAAACTATTACCTGTTAAATTGAGAAATTGTCTTCAAAAGTTAGACTACAGGAAAACCATAGTTGATGTCATTATATTGCTGAACAAAATAACTTTCTTAAAGGTGTTTGTAATTTCAGTGCATGTTTAACTGGTGCACAACTGAGACAAATCGGTACTATCTATACTTTTAAAGGCATTGGCCTCACCTAAAATACAAAAAAAAAAATTAGATAAAAATATATCTCACATTTTATACCTATAGAAATGTATTATTATAACTAATCAGAAGTAAATGTCCTCAATGTATTTTTTATCTATCATAATGATAGATTTAGATGGGCACACTATTTATGAATATATTGCATTATATTATAATTGTTTACAAATTAAACAACAATAGCCCAGTTAAAGTAGCATTAGGGATTATGCAATTTCATTGAAATGAATAAATAAAAAATTAAAATTAAGCTAATTATTCAAATAGTATACCTTGGGCAGCTCGTAAACGATTTTTAAATTCTTCTTGACAATTCCCTAAGGTAACAAGAATTATTCTCTTAAGTTCTTCTAGGATTCTGATTTTTTGTTCATTAGAAGTATTTGGTCTAGTGGTGTAAATTTAAAGGAAGAAGTACAGCAGAGTCAAATCGGGCCTCTTCTCCAAATCCATCAATTGGAAAATAATTGGTTTAAATATACTCGAACAGGAAGGGCATAGTGTAGTGGCGCTCCGTCTTGTTGGAGAAATCACTGCTGCTGGAATTGAATTTATTTATTTATTTATACATAATACATTTACTATTATAAAATAATATAAGTTTCTTGTCATTTTACATTTTTTATACAAATTCTTACCTCTTCCATGCCGACATCTAGTTCTTAATCATCTTCGAAATGCAGAATTGAAAATCTGCCTCTTTTTTGTTCTTATTCGATGACAATTGACGGACGTTTTGACGTAAACGTTACAAAAGACATTCCATATGCAACATTTGGACATTTCTACAGCGCTTTTTATGCAAAAACTGTTAACACCAGAAAAGAAGCTTTTTCAAGATCAACTGTCAACTTGAATGGAAACTAGAATGGCGGCCAAATGTCAAGTACGTGCAAGGTTGCCAGGTGTCACGATTTATCGTGAGATCTCATGACATTACTTTTAATCTCACGATCTCACGATTTGACATGTACTTCTCACGATTTTATTACAAAAATAATATAATAATTTAGTGTTAATAAAATCAAAGTAAAATCATAGCATTATCAACTCGAATTGTAGATTACTGTAAATTTCTCTATTAGTTACATCTATTCGCCGCTAGATGGCGCTAAGAAATTACTCAAACTAATATTTTATTTCCTTTTAATTATATCACTTTTATATACAGTATGTCCCCGGATTGTGTCCCCGTAAGGTATAATTGACGATAAATTTTGGAATTCAAATTCCATCTTTTGCAATTAAAGTCTGGATGTCATAAAACGAAATATAACCAAGTTTTACGTCATATGTCCTCAAAGTACCAACGTTAACGCAAGAAGTTTGTTAACTGTTGCACGTAAAGTGGCCTTTCTGAGCAATGTACAACAAAAGTTGATTAAGATAAAATGTTTGTTATATTAAATTATAGCGATATACCGAATTTTACTAATGTAGGATATAAAAGCAAAATGCAGATTTTTAAATCATAAGATTAACAAAGCATTTTCGATCTAAACTAAATTAACATAAAAGCTTATTCAATGATACCACCAACACTAACACATAATTCAGCCCTTTTCCGACAGTGTTTATAACTTTTTCTAATATGGTCCAACGGAATTTCTCTAACAACAGTTTCAATTTTTTTGTTTTAAACGGTCTAAATTGTTATTAAAATTTTCAGTGTACACTTTTTGTTTTACATAACAACAAAAATAAAAATCCATAATAAATAAATCCGGACTTCTTAGCGACTATGGTTGCAGATCATATCTACCAATCCATTTTTTTCAAAATAACGTATTTAAATAATTTCTAATTAAAATGGTCGAATGTGGGCCGCAACCATCTTGTTGAAAATATAATTTATTGCGTTTTTCTAAATCCACGCCGTGAAGATAATTAAATAAACAATTTACTAGTATTTCCAAATATCGGTGTTGATTCAAATTGCCGTTTATGAAG